GGGCGGGTGGGGGCGTGGATTCCTAAGTGGGGATCAGGAACGGGGGAGGGGCGCGGAGAGGGAGGAGCCGGACGACGCAGGGGAGTCGGGTTGGAGGAGCCGCGGGGCGGAGGGAAGAAGTTTGGAGAAGGGGAGGGGTCTGGGGGAATTCCTTCTCATTGTGGCGGGGGCCCTTCCGGAGGGGGGTTGAGGCCTTTGGGGGCCGGGGGCCCAGGCGAGAGGGGGCGCCGAGGACGTCCGAGTGGGGCTGGTAAGGCCACCGGCTACTCGTCCTTGGGAATGTGGGTGGCCGACTCGGTGACCCTTCTGCCCCATTGGAGTCCGGAGGTGGCAAGTGGCGTGTCCAGCGGACAGCAGGGACCTGGCACCACTGCTGCTAGGGGCCGGGGACAGCGTTCGGGGGTCCAGGGCGTGTGTGGACAGGAGGGGTCCATGCGCCAGGCTGGCGGTGCTTGCACGTGCGTGGAGTTCTGTCCGGCCCTTACCCGGGATGCGGGAAGTGTTCAGCCTGCCCTGGCTCCAGCACTCCTCCACGCTGCCTGGGCTCTGGACCCTGTTGCTCTGAGGGGTCCCGCGACCCACGCCGCACCCCTCCTGGTTCTAGAGGGCCGCGCGACCTTGGGGCCAGCCTCCCGGAGTGTGGCCTGGCGCAGAGACTGCGACTTGAGCCCTGGAGTGAGGTGAGCGCGAGACACACGGCTGGAGCCACCTGTCAACACGTTGGAGTTGCAGCTTTAACTGGAACCAACTCGGGGTGGTCTGGTGTGGCCCTGGGTGGGCTGCTAAAGCATGCCACTAGTCCCACTTTGAGGGCTGGTTCAAAATATCCCAAAATGTAAAAATCTCTTTACCTTTAAATATAAACAATATTAACAGGAGGGCTTTGGTAAGTGAATCCAGGCTACTGGTGTTGTAGTTAACTTTTCCCTAGCAACCTGAATATTGGTTATAAAGGAATACTTTTGAGAAATCTGTGAAACGCGTGCTGCTCCCACTAATATAGTCTTTCCGAGATTGTTGTCTGTTGTTGTTATCGATTCGGTATCTGAAATATTACCACTAATTAACACATCTTTCTATTTCAGCTTAAGTACCTGGGATTTCCATTTCTTCCCTCCTGAAGTCTGGTTTCTGTAGCATTTGGATCATAGCGACAGCCCTTAACAATCTGAAAGATTTTTGTGGAGCCATAAAAACTGTGTTCCCATTGAAACAGGGCATGTGGGCTGGGGGGAAGGGAAGTTCATTATTAACTAGATAGGAATGATAGATATCTAATGAAAAATATTTAATGATTATTTAGAAACCGGAGTTCTGAACTCAGTGTTTTCTTAGGTTGATTTGTTGGTTTGGGGTTTTTTTTCTTGCTGTTGGGCCAGATAAGCTCGCCGTATCATTTTCCTCTAAGACATCAGTATCAATTGATAAGTCTTGACTAATAACTTTTATCAGGAAATGGGTGGTAGGCTTAGAGTATGTTCTTCATCTCTTTACCTTACTGGATAAACGCAGACACAGTAAATGCTCCTCACTCCCCACATGGTACTTTCGGAAGCCCTCATTCCCACTTCTAGAATGATTTGTTTAAAGGAAAGTGAAAAGACCATCAATTTCGTTAATTTATTTGTCCGCTGCAGTTTAGTAAAAACAAGCAAAGTTTCAGTCAGATACTACAGAACGCGCCATATGCTAGGGAAAGAAAGTGCAAGTGCTGCCATCTACTGGAAGACCTGTGTTATCACAGCCTCCTTTGGGCAGAAGATCCGGTTTTAACTAAATTTTTGAGTTGTCACTGTTCAGGATACTCTTGATATCTTGAGAAATGCCAAGATGAGCATGGTATGAGTCACCCGCAATCCCCCTCCACCGCCCTTGTTTTTTGGATCTGCAGTCTTCTGTGACTTCCCTTGCATCTGGGCCTTTTCTGTGACGGGAAAGAGGGTGAAGAGAAAGGTCAGTGATGTTTTACTGTTTCCCACACCATGAGGTCATGGCTCTGAAGGAAATTAAATAACAACATCAGCTAAATAAATACTGTGTAATAAACGTGAATTTTTCCTATATGAATCTATATGCAGTTATCAGGAATAACTGAGACATGACTAATATAGTTTAAAAATTACATCTCTGGAAAGGAAAGGAAAATAAAGAAGATATGACTCTAGCCCTAACCTTTGCTTACTACATTCATATTTATTTATCAAATTACGCATTTTTGCTGCAGAAGATCAAAGACTACAGACTTCAATATGGATTCCAGGTCAACATCAAGAAAACGAACATTTTTTTTCAAAAAAGAAAACAAAAATCCTCATCTTTGGGCCAATAAGCAACATTGTGATTGATGGGGCAAAGAGTGAAATCAACAATTTCCTTTTATTTGAATCCAAAATGAATACCCATAGTAACAACAGTCAAGAAATAAAAAAATGTAATGCATTGGGGAAATATGTTGTCAAGGACCTCTCCAAAGAGCAAAGATGTCAGCTTTAAGGTCTGCCAGATCTAAGCCATGGTCTTTTCAACTACTTCCTTAGCACATGGAAGTTGGGCAATGAAGAAGGATGATGGAAGAAGAATCAATGCATTTGAAATGTGCTGTGGGAGAAAAATACTGAATACCCCATGATCTGCAAAATAAACAAATCTGTCTCAAAGGAATTAACAACCAGGTCATTAATGTCACATGCAAGTAAAATAACTGCTGAAGATCATTCAAAAGCAACTAGAACAGTAGAGAGAGTACTGCCAGATGTTCAATCTGGATTTAGAAAGGCTGTGGCACCAGAGATATCATTGCTGATGTCAGATGGAGCCTGGCTAAAAGTAAAGAATACCAGAAGAATGTCTGTTTGTGCTTTATTGACTATGCAAAGACATTTGACTATATGGATCGTAACAAATTATGACTAACATTGAGAAGAATGGGAATCCCAGAACACTTAACTGTGTTCATGCAAAACCTAGACCAAAAAGCTACTTTGTGAATAGAGCAAGGGAACAGTGTTGTTGT